CAAATCAAGGTCTTTCCATGGCCCTGATGCCTTATAATAGTGATACGCAGTCGCAAATGCCTTCTAATGGTGATAAACAGTCGCAAAATCCTTCTTTTCCTGCCAAAGGTATTTTAACATGTTAGTCAGCTGATTTTGTCTTGATGCTCTCACATGTGCTGCATTCATTGAAAGTCATTCATCATGTATGCCCTACCAATGCTTGCATAAGGCCCCAGACACTCTCGATTGGTTTTTTGGCCCCCTCTATCTATAGCATCAATTTACCTTGGACAGAAGGAAATTTTTTTCAGACTTGAGAGTTTCAATCATAATTAGTATCCTTGCATGTGCTGTATCGGCAAGGTTTAACATGTGTTATTGCTATCCTTGTGTGTGTGCTCAGTAAATGTTGTCACAATTATTGCTATGCTCGTTATGTTTATTATCTGTTTGGTATCCTTATTGGAATTTGGTGCTTAGCATCTTTCATTACTTTTGTTAGCAGGTTTGTTCACGTATCTTATGTTTCTTAAACAGTGGACTTACCGGAGGTTGCAACAAATGCCGTTGAAGCTACTCCTCAACTGCCTCGTGACTTGAGAATCTCAGTTGCAAAACATGTTACTTTTCCAAATCATATCCAAGTGCCTGAAGCTTTGAAAAATGTATTGACCTTTGGAAGTATCGATGCTCCTTTTGGAGTGAGAGTAGACTCTGATAAGGGTACTGGTGGTGATAATTTCTCAATGGGTGCTGTTGAGTCTTCCCAGGATACTGATGATACTGCTAAAGAACCTTCTCTTAGGTTGGTGATTTTTGCTTCTGTATATGTCTGTTTTGGCTTGTTTGATATATGATTTATGTGCTTTTCTCTTCTGCTTAATGATAATTGATAAGAGAACATAAGTTCTACTTTTTATCTAAATATATTGATCATGGTTTATCTTCCATAGCATAAATTATTTATATTTACCTATAACAGGACCCTTTCTAAACTGTGGAATTATTTTCTTAAAAATTTTTACTCATCTGGCTTTTTTTTTTGGATGCAGCAATGATATTGTATCCTCTCGTGTTCAAGGAGATTACTCTGAAAATCCAGTGTCTTTAGCTAATGTGCTTGAAAAATTACCACCGTTGGATAATGTATCTTCAAGTACAAACTCAAAAGTTGATCTGCCGAAGCAGGAATTGCAGTTGCCACCAGAAGGTTACCAGAAGCCAACCGCTTTAAATGCCCCGAGCTATAATCTGGGTATCTTTCCGTCGATGCTGGGGAGCCAGCTTTTACAAGTGGAAGGACACAATAATCCGGCACATGAAACACCCCGCCTTCCGAGCTTTGTTGTAAGTAACGACTAAGAGTAAATTTGTACTTGAAGTGCAACTTTCCAGTTCCTTTTGTTGTTGTTATTGTATGTTTCTGATCTGTGTAATTCATATTGTAGGGTGGCAATCCTACCACTGTGCCTAGCCCGAACTCAACTCCACCACTGCCAAGCGCGGCAGCTGTCTCTCAGCAGTCCATTCCTATGTACAGGCAGACTTATCCCCCTAATTTCTACCCATATGGCCACTATCTCCCTCCATATTATATGCCACATATGCAGCAGTTCTTAAGTCACAACGGCGGCTTTGCTCAGCCTTCAACTGGGAATGTATTTCTACCACAGCCGTCACCACCAGGGGCAGCTGCTTCTGGGGTTAAGTATTCTCTTTCGCATCTCAAGCCTGGTACCAATGCTGGACATCCGACTCAATACAGTTTTCAATCTGGTGGTCCATTTATCACCACCGCTGGCGGTTATGCTTCAGGCCCAACAGTTACATCTGGAAACTCGGTTGGTAATGAGGATCGTGGAGCATCTCAACTGAAGGAAAATCATGTCTACACAACTGGACAGCCGGTTGGTCTCTGATTCCATATCTTTATTTGAAGTTTTTAATTTCCTTGCATGCTAACAAAGCTTGAATGAATCTAGGTGGGGTGTTGTCTGTATGAATTATATTGGACCAATCATCATATTACTTATTCCCCCGTCCTCTCTTAATGTTTTCGCAGACAGAAGGCTCAGCTGTTTGGATACCTGCTCCAGGACAAGATATGTCCGGCTTGCAGATGAGTTCCATGTACAACCTTACTCAGGGGCCTCGCCTCACTTTCTCACCTATGCAGGCTGGTCACGGTGGCATGCCTGGGATGTATCCACCGGGGCAAACAATTACTTCTCCGACATTTCTGCAACAACAGTCTCCAGCTGTTGCGGGAGCTGCTGAAACGATAGGGCCCCAGTCCGCTCCTTATCACCAGGCTCAGCATACGCAGACAAACTGGAATTAGGTACCTTTACATTTGGCAAACAATTCATCTTCCGAGGATCAAGTTAAACTGGGTATATCTGACAAGTGGCATGTTTTGAGTGTATATATGAAATGCTGCCCAGAAGTTTTTGGAATATCATCATGACCATCTGAAGTTGAAAGAAGATAGGTTTCATCGTCTTTTTCGTCTTTCTCGTCTTTTTCTTAGCCTTTTTTTGTTTTTTTGTTTTCAATTTTAATTCAAAAAGTAAAATTTGATGGGAAAATTCGAGTCTTTAGCTTGTGGAACTTAGTAAATGTTGTAGGGAAAACTGAGGAGGATGATAGAGTTTAGAGTTGGGTGGGATGTACCCATTTTTCCTTTCTGATTGTCTCACCTGTATATTATTATGATAGCGAGAAAATGTCGAATTATACGATTGTAATTGGTATATTGAGAATTGGCTTCTCTGTTTACTTTCATCTTACAATCGTCTTTCGCTTTACAACGTCGAATTTTCGTGAGTGAATACCTAAGTAACTCTGAAAGGTGTGATTAGTTTCTTGTAACTCAATTAGCAATGGTTATGTGTGGAATGTGATTCCGGACCTTTGATTCCACCGGTTTTGGTAAACACAAGAGTGACGTGAAATATGAATGACTCCCATCCCCTTGTGTAAATGTGCCCTCTGAAACTAGAGAATGTCCCTTTTCTCCGGGGAGTCCGATTCTCTTCCTCTCAAATTCTCTCCCCTTGAGTTCCCTCCCTCCTCTCTTTTGTTTATTCTTTATAAAGAAGTTAACACAAGATGTTAAATCGTAACCGTATAATTAGGAAGAGATTGAAAGGGATAAAATCTTACTCCCTTCACCATTCCCCAACCCTGGCGGGTCCATCTCTTTCATAATTATACAGTCTATTGTATTTTCTTTAACCTGGTTAGAAAAAATGTTTCAACAACGTTTGAAGTGGTTCTTGCAAGAAGCATTTCATGTACTTTTTCTAAGGTTAACTTGCATTTTTACTTAGGATTGGTTTAAAATGTATTTTCTTTAAAAGCGTTTTAAGTCATTTAAAAACACGTTTACGAACGAGTTATTGTTCAATGATCCACCAAGTCCAACCACATGACGCCCTTATTGAAAGTCTCTCATTCCTTGTGCAAAAATTTCAATCCTCCACACACACTAACCATCTAAATGTCCTTCCATTTAAGTCTTGTGACCGGAAAAGTCTGCACATTACACAGCCGTGGCGGCCGCTTTGCTGTGGAGGCGCTGAAAAAGTACCAAGGAAGCAGATGAGGTGTAAGCCTCTGTTAACCTCATTTCTTTTGGCACATTAACGACGTATCGTTTGGAATGCATTTCTCCCCTACACATTTTATTATTAGAACCGTTCAATTTTTCTATCTTTGTTTAAATCATATTTACGAAAGTTCATTAGAACTGAAATCGTTTAACCATCAAAATGCATCAAATGAATGAAGGTTTATCATCGATGACTAAATGATCTTAGATTCTAATGACGTTTTTTTTTTTCTTTTTTTTGTTAAGGATGATCTTCAAATGAAAATAAGGAAATAAACAATTCCAATTATAAAATTTGTACAACAAAGATACGTTATTTAAAGGAAAGAATATAAATATTAAGAAGTGGATGCAAATATTATCATTAAAAAAATGAGTAAGAGAGAGAGAGAGAGAGACAAGAATACAAAAATGGCTTTGAAACGTCACCAATGAACGTCACAAGAGGCTTTTTTTAACGGAAAAACTAACGAAACTTAACAAAGGAGACATATTAACCACGAGCTGGTGGTCCAATAGTGAATGGCAGATTGCGAGGCTTCCTTCAAACTAAAAATTGGAGGTCTTGGGTTCGAAACCTACTGCTAGTGTGGAAGCCAAGCTTATGGCCAGAGGAAGGCTGAAATGCCTTTGTGAATCTTCCCGGCCATCGGAAATGATGGATAACCGTGACTTACCTTCAGTTGTCATTTAAAAAAAAAAAAAAGAAAAAAAAAAGAAAAACAGAGGAGGCACATTAGCACCAAAGTTTGGTTGATAAATTGAACTTTTTTAAGCACCAAATGTACACATGATCTTTTATCATGTGGTATTTGAGCGAATTTCACTTGGGCACAATAGTGAAAAGGATAACACTTGTGTTCCACTTTGGAGGAACTTGTCTCGTCACTTATAAACGTATGTTAACTATACAAACTTTAAAATCACAATCATTCATATTGTTTAGTATCATTTAAAGATCATACATAAAAAAAATAAAAAAAAAAAGCATTCAATTTGAATATCGTTTAACTATCTGTGCATGTCAAATCAATTAACATTTTTAGTAACAAGTAGTATCCTCACGACAAGTCGGTCATTTGTTTTATGCATATGAATTGTTACAGATCTTTAAATTGAATGATTTTTGCAGATATGATTTTTAGATGATGATTAAAATTATTAACTATTTCTAAGTTGATACGGTAAATATATGTTAATTATAAATGGAGAAATAAGCAAGTTCCCCATGGAGGACACGAGCATTATCCTAGCGAAAATAGATGCCTAAATATTGATAAAATTTTATAAGATCTTAGAACACAAAAAGTAAAAATTTCACTAGAACTTTCAATCTAATTATACAAAACTTAAGTTTGCAATTCAATTGAAAAAATAAAAATAAAATTAACGTCTCAACTAATAGTGGTCTCTTCTCTTATGTCTTAACCTATGATGGTGTTTATTGTTCCACGGCTTCACCTTGACAATGTAAATCAACGCAATCAGCAGCAACAGCATAATCGTAACGCAATCCACTTGCGGATGTTTTCCCGGTAAGACTCGACGCCTCTCAGCTTCTTCTTCCCGTTGTTCACACCTCTCAGCTCCGTTGCAGGTGTCTTTCTCTGTTTGAGTTCATCGCTCTCGTTTCGTAGCTGCTCGTCCTGGGATTCAACCAACAAAGCCATGTCCAAATACACCTGGTGCAGCTCCTGCAAGTTCTTCTCTATGTGTTTTACGGCGTCGTGCCGCTCTTGGAACTCTTTAAACGTGTCCAGGTCCTGAACCGTGGCCAGGACTTGGCTCCTCATCTCTCTTGCTCCTGGGTCGCCTTCTGCAGAAAGGTTTCCCCTTCTCCTGCATGAATGCATGAAAAATCATTAATTAAGCCACAAATAATAGTTGTGAGTGTGAGTGACAAATTTGAATAATGCTAATTGGACAACAAAATTGACCACTTTCTCTTATAGAGTTAGAGGTGATTCATATCAAAATACAGAAAAATATCATTCGAAAACTCTCTTAAAACATATGTTGAAAATTCAGCCATTATTTGAATTTAGCACACACATATTAAACAGTTAACGCTAGCGAGACCGTGATTTTGAACCACATGATGTGGTTCTTTAAATCATAGTCTTATTTTATTACCACATCATGTAGTTTACAAAACGTAATTTAAAAGATGAACTCCCTAGCATTTTTCATTTAAACGTCTAATTTATTATTTATTATTATAAGCACTACTACTAAAAGGCCAAATTTTATTCATGATGCTTGTGGGGAGACTTTAATTTAAGTCGAAAATTTTAGTTGCTAGACTAGCATTACTCGAAAAATTTCTAGTTTTACGTAATTATAATGGGGTTTTAAAATAAAGGATTTGCCCTTACCGGTAGAGATGAGGCTGTCTAGGGTTTTCTCGTCGGGGTTTTCAGCCGAGACAATGTAGTACATACACTGTACGGCCTCGCGATACTCGGATGATATCTTCTGCCTCATAGCATTGTAGCTGTTCATGGAGGCCACGAGCTTCTCTCGGAGGCAGTTGATAGCAGAGTTCCGAGTCTGGTCCATTACCGAACCGAGTCTGGTCCATTACCGAACCGAGTCTGCAATCTGGCAAGCTGGTCCATTACCGAACCGAGTCTGCAATCTGGCAAGCTATGGTTAGAGCGGTGGAGGGCATCGAGTTGGAGCTTGAGGACTTTAGCCGTCTCCAAAGCGATATAGAAGTATTCATCCATGCGAGATCGGAGGGCCTTGCCGACGTTGGAATTTAGGAGCACCATCTTGCTCTGCTCGTGAGAGGCTTTAAGGTTGACTTGGAGCCGCCGTTGAGCATGTAGTTAGGCTATCTCCAACGGAACGAGGGTCACAGAGCTTCTTTTAGCCCTATAACCTTGCAATAAATTATATTTTAATGAACAGTGATAGACGATAATTTATACCATCATCAACCAAAAGGGTTAAAGGATCATAGGCCAAACATAGGGGAAAATTTTCATTATGATTGAAACACAGGTGGTACACCACATGATTTTATGTAAGTGGTGGGAAATTTTATTTTTTAAGTTATTACCTTTTTAATACACAAATTCCACTGTTTGTATAGTGACACGTAGTGTACCACCTTATTTGCCCGTCACACTGAAAAATATCTCCAAACATAGCCCTTTAACAAAAAACCATCTCCAATTGAGGGGGCTAAAGAGCCATAGGCCAAACATAATTTATTATTTTAATTGAATTAATATGGTTAATTAAATTAAACTACCATATTAAAATAAGGTTTTCAGACATATTTTGAGTGTCACTTGTCGCCAAATAAATAAGCCTCCGGATTTCTTATCTTTATATAATCTCAATAATTTTTTGATAGGATTTCGAGTGACATGTGTCGCTAAATATTAGAATTTCGGACAATATGATTTCGATTTAGGTATTTATAGGAAAAAAAAAAAATTTAGAATTGTTTTTTAAAATTTCCAAAAAATAAAAATATTCAAATTCCAATGGTAACCTGACGGCAGCTAATCGTTGCTAGTTGGCGTCATACTGACGCCATTCAAATGGGCTGAGCTGGAGGGTTGGCAAAATGTCAAGCTTGACATTATGACGTTGGAGGGCTGGCTGGCCTGATTTGGGGGTTTTGGTCTGATGAGGCCCATAAGCCTTTTGACCTAGTCCTCGGTTGGAGACGGTTTCGTGTCCTTCCGAATTATTTTTAGCCCTAGGGGCCTTCGACCGGTCCATTAGAGATGGCCTTAACGGACTGTACATTGGCAAAGAACTTGTTGAGGCTAACTCTATCACCGCGGGTGGTGGACTCGGCAGACGCCATCTCGATCATGTGGTCGTCGTTTGGCTGATGCATGCTTGCTTGCTCAAGACAGAGAAGAACGAGAGAGAGGGACGTGGAATTTGGTTTGAGAAAAGGAGTGGTGGTTAATATATATAGAGAGATGTAACAAAATAGTTTCTTGGAAGTGAAGGCAAAGGACATGTTGCTTATTTCCTCTTCTCAAAACAATTATATGCATGTTTCCTCCTCTCAAAATATAGGTAAGTGTTTACTAGGCATTTCTTATTCTCTCGTACATTTATGTTTGATTCTGATTTTCGATATTGAAATTTCTACCGAATTTGAAGGAATTTGGACTAAGTCATAATTTGTTATAGCGAGTCAACTATAATTTGATATCAAATTAATCATTCATGAAGGTCAAATTTAAGAGCTTTTACTGACAAGTGAGTGAAAAAATTTACTAGCATGGTGGTTACTATTTATATATATGTTACCATACAGGAGAAGAGAATCACGAACCAAAGCAAATTGATATTTATGTACCATGGTTGTGTTTAAAATGCAAATTGGAAGGATTATATCCATGGTTGCTCGAAGGATCTCAAAAGCAAATTGAAGAATGCGAGATGCAAGAAAAAAACGAAGATAACACATTTAAAAGCAAAACCAGTCGCACATAATTAAGAAATGAGTTTTACATGGTTGATAAATCGATGAGCAGAAGAAGAAGAATTACCAGTAAATGTTGTACATCAACTCCTTCGGGTTTTCAATGACCAAAGTTTAATGGATATTTTTTAAATGAGGTCAATGAGGCAGAATAGTGATGGATATTACAAACATCTGTTTCTTGCTACTATATATATAATCTTTGAGCTTCTGAAACTCTGAAACCTGAAGGTTTTTTTATTTCATACATAGTTGCATTTTCTAGGGGGCCATTTTTGAAAAATGGGTACCTAAGAAAGTCAAGGAAGGACGCGATGGCGCTTCAGGTTGGAGGGGGGTGTCGCGGACACTGCGTTCTGAGACTTGGTCTCCATGGTGAGCATCTTGAGAGAAATTTTCCGCAGGTAATCCGACTGGAAAAAAGAGATTTCACACACAACTTTGATTACAACGCTATCGAGTATCCACAATACGTACCAATGAAGTTGAAAAATAAACATAGACATATGCAATATTGGAATGCAACACAATGGAGATTTGAACTCCACAAATTCTGGAAGTACCTGGCTTGAGGCAGCAGCATATATCTTTTCCTCAAACCTTACAGCAATCTTCTCGAGTTCACGTAATCCCTCCTCCCCCTCGAAGGGAAGGTGCCTCTTCAACGTTTCCGTTCTTTGTATGCAATTGATACACTAAGTTAGCGACCATGAATAAGGAATGCAGGCAGATTACTCAGGTAAAATCACAGCGAACAAAGGACCGACCACATTGTCCAAAACGAAAAATATAGGGAAATAAGCACAAATGGAACTCGCTACAAATTTCTAATAGAAAACAGAACTGGGCTACTCTAATTAAACAGACAATAAGCAATATATATACGGAACATGGTTTAGTATTTATGATGCATGGACACGGACTCGGGATACGACACGACATGGGGATGTGTCTAATTAACAAGAAGAATTGTCATTTGAACACAAGGAAATACAATACGACACCTAACAAGACACGACAGGACACGGGGATACGAGGGGATTGTCCATGCATCCTACTTTTATTCTATTTCCTGCGTCTCTTAAAGTTCTATTTCTGCATATTTTCAATGTGTAAGAGGGTTAAATATTTCAGCTAAAAAGAATTAAAAAGATATTCCAGCAGTAAATATTTTTCTCCCCTCAATGAAGTCCATGATTTCTAGACTTTATTTTTCTCATACGTCTTGGGAATAATTCCGTGTGATACAGATCTGGCTGTAATTGACAATTAAATAAGCTACCGACCATGATTAACAAAAAAAAAAAAAAAGTTAAATCACAGTGAACAAAGGACTCGACTAAAGAAACATGTACAAATGTAAATTACAAATTTCTAATAAAAATAGAAGGAGAGGACACAAAGCAGACAATAAACCGTAAAATACAATATATAACAAGCTTTGGAACCCCTTGTATTGTATTTGAAATACTCCAGTGTCTCTCCAAGTTTCTTTTTCGATTAAAACCTCATAACCGATTTTGTTTATATATACTTCCAAAAACCTACTTAAGGATTCAATTCAGCTAAAAAGCAGTACACAGATGATCAATATTCACTCTCTTTTTCAAACAATACTTACATCCTGTGAACAATTCTGCGTCGTGAATCTTGCTGCAATTGGCTTCTCCAATCACCTGCCTCCATTGAAGGTTCTCCACCTTGAGCAGGTCTCTGGTTATTGAGATCCATCAAAACTGACCAACCACACACACCAGCAGACTTGGAAACAAAATTGAACTGGAAAACCCAGATCTAAGAAAATAACAAGTCAACTTATTAATCAACCTGAGGAGTGGATTGATTGGATATTAAGAAAATAATCTAATACACATAAATATGAAAGGGAAGTTGGTTTTCTTACCTTGATCAAGAGACGATGTGATGAAGATTACTTAGAGGATAAGAGTTGCAGACTGATGCAAAGAAAGCTTTAAGGACCAAAGGGCACAAAAAGGTGCACAAAAAAGAAAGTGGGGTGCGAATCAATCTTTTTTTTTTTTTTTTTTTTTTTGGGTTGGTGGATGGTGACTCACATTTTTATTTTATTTTTCGCAGTGCTCTGTGGATCACACATTTGTGGGATGGACAATTCAAATTTCCTTCTCTATCTTTTAATTATATTGGAAGGTTTCGAAGCTGAATATAACAGTCATATTCGTCATGCAACCCATCCATAAAACCGGACTAACTCTAGTGGCTAAATTTCAATATTCTCAATTTCAAATTGTATGAAGTTGTTTAAACTACACTTGTATATATACCAATATTGAAAACTACATTTGGCAGAAGCTTACAGCTCATTCATTCGCGTATCATTTGTTGAAGTTGAAAATTTTGAGTATTCAAATTCTCTACCAGCAATTAATCTTGAACATGTTGAGAAGTTTTAGACACTATCTTTCGCTTGCCATCAACAAGGAAGGGAGGCACCTACAATAAAACACTATCACGCTCAAATTAGTGTTTGTTCAGGATGCTTATTGTAAAATATAGAGTGATGTAATAACTCTCTATCTGACAAGCTCCAAGGCTCTAAACATCCCCTTGATACATTAAATTTTGTTCCTACCACTTACTTACAAGCCTCTAAACATGATCACTGAAAGCAATGGCTAAGGAGTTTCAAGCGTTGTAATCCACAGGAACTTGGTATCTTGTTCCATCTTCACCAAATCAGAATCTGGTAGGATGTAAATGGATCTTTCCTATTAAAAGGAAACCAGATGGCGTGGATAGATACTAAGCTCGATTAGTAGCAAAATGATTTCATCAACAAGAGGGTATTGACTATCAAGAGACTTTCAATCCAGTTGCAATACTTGTAACTATCAGAATACTTTTAACTGTGGCAGTGCAGTTTGATTGGTTTTTGAATTAGTTGGACATTAGTAATGCATTCTTGCATGATACACCCAAGGATGAGGTTTTCATGCAACAAACCCCTGGTTTTATTGGGAAATCGAAGCCCTCTAATGTGTGCAAGCTAAACAAATCTCTGTTTAGCCTAAAGCATGCCCCCAGGGTTTGGTATGATAAGTTGTTTCAAACTTTGATCTCTCTGGGTTTTCACAATTCTCAATTTGATTGTTCTTTGTTTGTTACCTTTGAGCCTACTTTTGTCATTGTACTAGTATATGTTGATGACATACTAGTCACTAGACCTAGTGCTCAAGTCTGCAAGTCTTTCATTCAAAAGCTCAATCCACTTTTTCCAGTCTTACATTATTTCCTGGGTTTGGAGATACACAGAAATTTAGAAGGCATTTTTCTATCTCAACACAAGTATGCAATGGATCTACTTCTCAAGACAAGCATGGATGGAAGTAAACCCTGCACTACACCTCTTGGTACTCAAAAGCTCGATCATAGTGGAACACTACTGTCAAATCCACATGATATAGATCAATTGTTAGGGCATTGCAATATTTGACTTGGACTCGACATGACCTTTCATTTGTTGTTAATCAACTCTGTCAGTTTCTTCACTGTCCTAGAGATACTCATTTTCAATCTGTTAAGAGAGTTTAAGGTTTCTCAAAGGGACTGTTGTGGAAGGACTTTGGTTCAAGAAAAGTTCACTCAATCTCACTGCCTTCTCGGATGCTAATTGGGCAGGATGTGTGTTTGATCGACACTCCACTAGTGGCTACTGTGTTTATCTTGGTAGTAATTTGATTAGCTAGAGTGCAAAGAAGCAAAACATTGTTGTTTGTTCCTCCATTGAAGTTGAATATTGCTCTTTAGCTCACACATCTGCTGAGGTCACCTGGATTTGTAAGATTTTCAAGGATATATGTTTTCCATTATCCAAAGTTTCAGTTCTTTGGTGTGACAATGTGTCTGCAATTTCCCTTGCATCCAATCGAGTATTCCATGCTCGCACTTAGCACGTGGAAATTGACTATCACTATATCAGGGAACTTGTCTTAGCCTATCTTCTCCAAGTTTAGTTTGTTCCCAGTCACCATCAAATTGCAAATATTCACACCAAGTCTTTGTCAAAAGCTTGATTTCAGTTTCTCAGGTCCAACCTTTCACTTGGCTCTCCTCCATTCAACTTGAGGAGGTGTAAAGACACATCATCCTTAGTACAGTCAACAGTGCCAACTAGACTACAAGTCACCAACACAGTCAACAGTTACTTAGCGAAGAAGTTTGTTTGTTGTGACTGTTTTGTAACTAATCATAGATTAAGATTAATTAGTTACATTAGTTGGTAACTAATCTTTATTAACTTTTGTGTATAAATACCCCAATGTAATCAGTTTTTAATCAAATAGAAATACTTTTCTATTAAGGCCCACTTTCCTTCTATTTTCCATGTTTCATATTCCATGAAAGTGTTTGATCAAGCTCCGTTATTCTAACTTCACTCCCTCAAATTAAGAAGCGACTCATTACTTGGGCCATAAATTTTTGCACCCACCACACTGATTTATAATATAATCTTTTGGTTAATTAAATCTAAAGCTGTACTTAATTAGTCTCTTCTGCCTGATCTCCCTCTTCCCTCAAACACAAAAAAAGGGCTAAAAAAGCTTCTTCTTTCGGTTGAGTTTAGACAACGGTTGTGGTATCCTCTCTCTCTCTCGAACACACAAAAATGGTTTTGTAAGCCTGCTGCTTGGTGCTCAGTCTATAGACAACAGTTGTACTACCCTCTACTTCTGATTCTACACTTTATTCGTCGGTAGCTATGGATTTTGATGTCGGTAAGCTTTGCTTCCGCCGATGCTTGCTCAAACTGTCTTGTGACTTTTGCAGGTTAGCAATGTGTAAACAAACTGGTTTGAAAGTGATTTTAAAATGACTGAATGCACATTGATGAGAGCGTTTTTGAAAATCAATCCTTAATAAAAATGCAAGAGAATCCTGAAAACGCTCTAGAAGTGCTATGTGATTCTTGCAAGAAGCACATAAATTCCTTGCAAATGCTCATAAAACCCAGATCCAAATTAAACAAACATAAGGTAGCCCCTTAGCAGTATCACACAAGACTTGAGCAATGATTTGTTCTTCTCAATTATTAGAATCAAATACTTGTTTTTCTCAAATATTAATCAGAAATACACATACGGTAACGGTTTCACAAAAAGGACACTAAACAGACAAGAAAAAGGCATTAAAACACACCAAAAATTTGATTTTAGACTACAGTAGATAGACATCGGGGAAATAAAAATACGATGTTACTTGATGAATTAGGCATCGATTTGTATATATCTAAGTCTCCTTACTTAAAGGCATCAAATATTGAAGGTTTTTGAAACTCGGAAATGTGAAGTTTTATTCATTTATTTCATACATAGTTGCAATTTCTAGGGACTATTTCTTTCAAAATGGGTACCTACGGAAGTCAGGCAAAGACACGACGCCGTTTCAGGTTCAAGTTGGGTGTTGGGGACGCTGCGGTCTGAGACTTGTTCACTATGGTGTGCAACTTGAGAGAAATTTTCTGTAGATAATCCGACTGGAAAAAGCGATCCATACACAACTTAAGTTACGACGCTATCCAGTATCCACATTACAAATAAAGTTGATAAATAAGCATCTATGTAAGTAATAACATTTGCAGTATTGCAAGGCAACACAAATAGGTTTGGATTCCAAGAGTTCTGGAAGTACCTGGCTGAGGGCAACAGTATAGATTTTTTCCTCAAACCTTACAGCAATCCTCTCGAGTTCATGTAGTCCCTCCTCACCAGTAAAGGGAAGGTGCCTCCTCAACACTTCCGTTCTTCATATGCAATACATTCAATACGTTAATGATCATGATCAAGGAATGGAGGCAGAGTTCTCAACAAACAAAAGTTAAAATCACATGAATAAAGGAGAGGACACAAAGCAGACAATAAACCGTAAAATACAATATATAACAAGCTTTGGAACCCCTTGTATTGTATTTGCAATACTCCAGTGTCTCTCCAAGTTTCTTTTTCGATTAAAACCTTATAACCGATTTTGTTTATATATACTTCCAAAAACCTACTTAAGGATTCAATTCAGCTAAAAAGCAGTACACAGATGATCAATATTCACTCTCTTTTTCAAACAATACTTACATCTTGTGAACAATTCTGCGTCGTGAATCTTGCTGCAATTGGCTTCTCCAATCACCTGCCTCCATTGAAGGTTCTCCACCTTGAGCAGGTCTCGGGTTATTGAGATCCATCAAAACTGACCAACCACACACACCAGCAGACTTGGAAACAAAATTGAACTGGAAAACCCAGATCTAAGAAAATAACAAGTCAACTTATTAATCAACCTGAGAAGTGGATCGATTGGATATTAAGAAAATAATCTAATACACATAAATATGAAAGGGAAGTTGGTTTTCTTACCTTGATCAAGAGATGATGTGATCAAGATTACTTAGAGGATAAGAGTTGCAGACTGACGCAAAGAAAGCTTTAAGGACCAAAGGGGACAAAAAGGTGCACAAAAAAGAAAGTGGGGTGCGAATCAATCTTTTTTTTTTTTTTTTTTTTTGGGTTGGTGGATGGTGACTCACATTTTTATTTTATTTTTCGCAGTGCTCTGTGGATCACACATTTGTGGGATGGACAATTCAAATTTCCTTCTCTATCTTTTAATTATATTGGAAGGTTTCGAAGCTGAATATAACAGTCATATTCGTCATGCAACCCATCCATAAAACCGGACTAACTCTAGTGGCTAAATTTCAATATTCTCAATTCAAATTGTATGAAGTTGTTTAAACTACACTTGTATATATACCAATATTGAAAACTACATTTGGCAGAAGCTTACAGCTCATTCATTCGCGTATATTTTGTTGGAGTTGAAAATTTTGAGTATTCAAATTCTCTACCAGCAATTAATCTTGAACATGTTGAGAAGTTTTAGACACTATCTTTCGCTTGCCATCAACAAGGAAGGGAGGCACCTACAATAAAACACTATCACGCTCAAATTAGTGTTTGTTCAGGATGTTTATTGTAAAATATAGAGTGATGTAATAACTCTCTATCTAACAAGCTCCAAGGCTCTAAACATCCGCTTGATACATTAAATTTTGTTCCTACCACTTACTTACAAGCCTCTAAACATGATCACTGAAAGCAATGGCTAAGGAGTTTCAAGTGTTGCAATCCACAGGAACTTGGTATCTTGTTCCATCTTCACCAAATCAGAATCTGGTAGGATGTAAATGGATCTTTCGTATTAAAAGGAAACCAGATGGCGTGGATAGATACTAAGCTCGATTAGTAGCAAAATGATTTCATCAACAAGAGGGTATTGACTGTCAAGAGACTTTCAATCCAGTTGCAAAACTTGTAACTATCAGAATACTTTTAACTTTGGCAGTGCAGTTTGATTGGTTTTTGAATTAGTTGGACATTAGTAATGCATTCTTGCATGATACACCCAAGGATGAGGTTTTCATGCAACAAACCCCTGGTTTTATTGAGAAATCGAAGCCCTCTAATGTGTGCAAGCTAAACAAATCTCTGTATAGCCTAAAGCATGCCCCCAGGGTTTGGTATGATAAGTTGTTTCAAACTTTGATCTCTCTGGGTTTTCACAATTCTCAATTTGATTGCTCTTTGTTTGTTACCTTTGAGCCTACTTTTGTCATTGTACTAGTTTATGTTGATGACATACTAGTCACTGGACCTAGTGCTTAAGTCTGCAAGGCTTTCATTCAAAAGCTCAGTCAACTTTTTCCAGTCTTGCATTATTTCCTGGGTTTGGAGATACACAGAAATTTAGAAGGCATTTTTCTATCTCAACACAAGTATGCAATGGATCTACTTCTCAAGACAAACATGGATGGAAGTAAACCCTGCACTACACCTCTTGGTACTCAAAAGCTCGATCATAGTGGAACACTACTGTCAAATCCACATGATATAGATCAATTGTTAGGGCATTGCAATATTTGACTTGGACTCGACATGACCTTTCATTTGTTGTTAATCAACTCTGTCAGTTTCTTCACTGTCCTAGAGATACTCATTTTCAATCTGTTAAGAGAGTTTAAGGTTTCTCAAAGGGACTGTTGTTGAAGGACTTTGGTTCAAGAAAAGTTCACTCAATCTCACTGCCTTCTCGGATGCTAATTGGGCAGGATGTGTGTTTGATCGACACTCCACTAGTGGCTACTGTGTTTATCTTGGTAGTAATTTGATTAGCTAGAGTGCAAAGAAGCAAAACATTGTTGTTTGTTCCTCCATTGAAGTTGAATATTGCTCTTTAGCTCACACATCTGCTGAGGTCACCTGGATTTGTAAGATTTTCAAGGATATATGTTTTCCATTATCCAAAGTTTCAGTTCTTTGGTGTGACAATGTGTCTGCAATTTCCCTTGCATCCAATCGAGTATTCCATGCTCGCACTTAGCACGTGGAAATTGACTATCACTATATCAGGGAACTTGTCTTAGCCTATCTTCTCCAAGTTTAGTTTGTTCCCAGTCACCATCAAATTGCAAATATTCACACCAAGTCTTTGTCAAAAGCTTGATTTCAGTTTCTCAGGTCCAACCTTTCACTTGGCTCTCCTCCATTCAACTTGAGGAGGTGTAAAGACACATCATCCTTAGTACAGTCAACAGTGCCAACTAGACTACAAGTCACCAACACAGTCAACAGTTACTTAGTGAAGAAGTTTGTTTGTTGTGACTGTTTTGTAACTAATCATAGATTAAGATTAATTAGTTACATTAGTTGGTAACTAATCTTTATTAACTTTTGTGTATAAATACCCCAATGTAATCAGTTTTTAATCAAATAGAAATACTTTTCTATTAAGGCCCACTTTCCTTCTATTTTCCATGTTTCATATTCCATGAAAGTGTTTGATCAAGCTCCGTTATTCTAACTCCACTCCCTCAAATTAAGAAGCGACTCATTACTTGGGCCATAAATTTTTGCACCCACCACACTGATTTATAATATAATCTTTTGGTTAATTAAATCTAAAGCTGTACTTAATTAGTCACTTCTGCCTGATCTCCCTCTTCCCTCAAACACAAAAAAAGGGCTAAAAAAGCTTCTTCTTTCGGTTGAGTTTAGACAACGGTTGTGGTATCCTCTCTCTCTCTCGAACACACAAAAATGGTTTTGTAAGCCTGCTGCTTGGTGCTCAGTCTATAGACAACAGTTGTACTACCCTCTACTTCTGATTCTACACTTTATTCGTTGGTAGCTATGGATTTTGATGTCGGTAAGCTTTGCTTCCGCCGATGCTTGCTCAAACTGTCTTGTGACTTTTGCAGGTTTAGCAATGTGTAAACAAACTGGTTTGAAAGTGCTTTTAAAATGACTGAAAGCACATTGATGAGAGCGTTTTTGGAAATCAATCCTTAGTAAAAATGCAAGAGAATCCTGAAAAAGCTCTAGAAGTGCTATGTGATTCTTGCAGGAAGCACATAACTTCCTTGCAAATGCTCATAAAACCCGGATCCAAATTAAACAAACATAAGGTAGCCCCTTAGCAGTATCACACAAGACTTGAGCAATGATTTGTTCTTCTCAATTATTAGAATCAAATACTTGATTTTCTCAAATATTAATCAGAAATACACATACGGTAACGGTTTCACAAAAAGGACACTAAACAGACAAGAAAAAGGCATTAAGACACACCAAAAATTTGATTTTGGACTACAGTAGATAGACATCGGGAAATAAAATTACGTTGTTACTTGATGAATTAGGCATCGATTTGTATACATCGAAGTCTCCTTACTTAAAGGCATCAAATATTGAAGGTTTTTGAAACTCGGAAATGTGAAGTTTTATTCATTTATTTCATACATAGTTGCAATTTCTAGGGACTATTTCTTTTAAAATGGGTACCTACGGAAGTCAGGCAAAGACACGACGCCGTTTCAGGTTCAAGTTGGGTGTTGGGGACGCTGCGGTCTGAGACTTGTTCTCCATGGTGTGCAACTTGAGAGAAATTTTCCGTAGATAATCCGACTGGAAAAAGCGATTTATACACAACTTAAGTTACGACGCTATCCAGTATCCACATTACAAATAAAGTTGATAAATAAGCATCTATGTAAGTAATAACATTTGCAGTATTGCAAGGCAACACAAATAGGTTTGGATTCCAAGAGTTCTGGAAGTACCAGGCTGACGGCAACAGTATAGATTTTTTCCTCAAACCTTACAGCAATCCTCTCGAGTTCATGTAGTCCCTCCTCACCAGTAAAGGGAAGGTGCCTCCTCAACACTTCCTTTCTTCATATGCAATACAATCAATACGTTAATGATCATGATCAAGGAATGGAGGCAGAGTTCTCAACAAACAAAAGTTAAAATCACATGAATAAAGGACTAAACCTAATTAAGGAATGGAACTCGTTACAAATTTCTAATAAATACAGAACTGGGGTACTCTAAACAGACAAGAAGCAATATACATAACGAGTTTTAGTACCAGTTTTATTTTATTTTACTTCCAGTACGTGTCTCTCGAAGTTTTAGATTTATTAAAACGGTTAAACCAGTTCTGTTTCAGCATGATTTCTGGACTTTCCTTTTCCAACTTACATCTTGGCAATAATTCTGTGTCGTGAATCTGGCTGTAATTGGCTTCTCCAATTGCTTGTGACCATTGAAGTTTCTCCACCTTGAGGCTTGTTTTCCATGGCGAGCATCTTCATAGAAATTTTCCGAAGATAATCCGACTGATAAAAAAGATCCACACAACTTGGATTAGAATCCATCCCCGTACGTATATATCCACAATACAAAAAACTTGGAAAATTAACATTTATGTAAGAAAAACTACATAGGCAATATGTAATGCACCATGAAAAATCATATTTAACCCCAAGAGTTAGGGAAGAACCTGGCTTGAGGCAGCAACATATATCTTTTCCTCGAACCTTGCAGCAATCTTCTCGAGTTCACGTAATCCCTCCTCCCCATTGAAGGGAAGGTGCCTCTTCAATGTTTCCAGTCTGTATATGCAAATGAGCAATATATTCAATAAGTTACTGACCATGATGAACAAACAAAGTTAAATCACGCTGAACAAAGGACTCGACCTAAATTATTCCAAACGAAAATACTGGAAAATATGTACAAATATAACTAGTTACATATTTGCAGTAAAAAATAAAACTCGGGAAGACGATGTATCTGACAATAAGCAGCATATATAACACGATTTGGTACCTCTTGTATCATACTTTCATTACCCAAACAAAAGACTATTGTATTTTCAGTATCTCTCCAAGGAGTACAAAGAATTAACATTCGAAGATTTCCAGATTCTCTTTCTTCTTCTAATGATACTTACATCTTGGCAACAATTCTGTGTCGTGAATCTAGCTGCAATTGGCTCCTCCAATCACCTGTCTCCATTGAAGGTTCTCCACCTTCAGGAGGTCTGGTCTGAATATTGGTATCCATCAAAACTGACCAACCAGACACATTCATCAGACTTATATAAATAAATAAAATTGAATTGGTGAAACCAAATCTAAGAAAAGAAGTGAACTATAAATTAACCTTAGATTTGAATTAACTGAATATTTAGAAAAGAATGTAATGCACATAAACTTGGAACAAAAGTTGGCGTTCATACATGGACCAAGAGATGCGTGGGAGACTGCGGTCTGAGATTTGGTCTCCATGGTGAGCATCTTGAGAGAAATTTTCCGTATATAATCCGACTGGAAAAAGAGATCCCCACATAATCTAGATTACAACTCTATCGAGCATCCACAATACAAATAAACTTGAAAATAAAACATCTATGTCAGTAATGACAACATAAAAAGATTTGAACTCCAAGGGTTCTTGAAGTACCTGACTTGAGGCACCAACATACATATTTTCCTCAAACGTTACAGCAATCCTCTCGATTTCACGTAATCCCTCCGGACCATCAAAGGGAACGTGCCTTTTCATCGTTTCAATTCTTTGTATGCAAAATATTCAATAAGTCACAAACTAAAAGTGTAGGTAAATACGCACGAATGCAACTCGTTACAAATTTCTAATACAAAACAGAATTGGGGTACTCTAGAACAACAAGCAGTATACACAACACGGTTTAGTACCACTTTTTGTTCTCTTTCCAGACTCCCTGAACGAGAGTTAAATATTTCAGCTAAGAAGGAGTAATAAGGATAGTCTGTCCGTAATTTCTAGACGCTTTATTTCTAACATACTGCGTCCCAGCTTTAAACCGTGGGGGTGTATTCAATTGAGATTTGGAGGGATTTTAATTCTTTTAATGAATCTAGCGGTCTTCAATTAGGAATTTAAGTGATTCTCTGAAATTCAATGTGTATTCAATCAGAATTTTACGATAATTTATTAAAATCCTTAGAAATCCGGTGTATTCAATTAGAATTTAAAAAGGTTTATAACATTCCAATTGTATACATTTAGAATTTGATTTTAAAGAATTTGAAAAAGTTGAGGAATTAAAGGGAATTTGAGAGATTTTGTAGCGTATTTTAAGCATCTATAAATATTACCTATCTCTAAGAGATTTTGAGGGAATTGAATCAAAATTTTACATGGAATCTCTACAAATCAATTGAACTCTGTAAAAATCCATTAAAATCACTTTAATTCCCAATTGAATACACTGTATAGTTTGGATTAGTAATATCACTTGTAATAAAAACATACATCTTTGCGACAATTCTATGTCGTGACTCTGACTGTAATTGCGTCCTCCAATCATCACCTGCCTCCATTGGAGGTGCCCCAGCTTGAGCAGGTCTGGTCTGAATATTGGTATTCATCAAAACTGAACAACCAGACACAACCACCAGAATTAAAAAAATAAAATTGAATATGTATTAAGAAGATAAAAAAATGGGAAATTATCACGATTGTTAAGAAAAGAAGTCAACCATAAATCTACTTGAGAACTGGATTAGTTGGGAAGTAAGCAAAAAGTCAATATAAACATGTTCTTACCTTGATCCAGATGATCGAGAGCGATTACTTTGAGGATAAGAGTTGCAGACCAGAAGGAAAGGAAGTTGCGAATAACAAAATTAAGCCGAAGGGGACGAAAATGGCTGACTCAACTTTCCAAGTGTGCTTAACCTTTTTCTCGTGATTACATAATTTACATTTCTGTCCTTTAATTTCTTGACTACCTTTTTTTTTTTTTTTTCCTTTTTTTTTTAATTTAAATGATATTATCTAGGGAGGAAAAGATGAGCTTACTCTCACAACAGGTTAAGCAATAATGTGGTTATGGTTCAAATTCGTTTTTGGCAAAAGTTGAACTTAAGATCTTGCACTTACAAGTAAAGAGGAGGAATATTACTAGACCACAATAATAAATGGCTATTTTCTTAACTCTACTTGAATTCCAATTATTATTTTTATGTCATTCACTTCAAGGCGATTTGTTACAAAAAATTTAGAAAAATATTTAAAATTTGTAACCAACATAAAATTATAGTTACCATTTTAATTTATAATAATTATAAACAAAAATTAATGTGAAATGACTAATATATCCTTAAAATGAGGTTTTCAATTAAAATGAAAATGAGGATAATCTCCCCAACACCACCAAGCCCGTCTCCTTCACCAAAAATAGAGATTAATTCAACTTCTCTTCCCCGGCATTGTCATCTTTCTGCTCTTTTTGATCAGTCATGTCTACATCACCACACTCTGGCACTTGATCCTCGTGGTCTCTATGCTCGAGCTCGTCTACGGGATCGCCGCCATGAAGAAGAGCTATGTGCTGCTCAAGGGGAGGGTTGGGGATGGTGTTCATGCTCGTTTTCGGGTACTTAACTATGTGTGGGGTTATCGCCGATGACACGATAATCCTCGCATCGTGGCACGTTAAAACATTATTGTTAGTCATGACATGACAAGCATCGTAAATTTTTGGTAGAATGCATGTCATGACATGCCATGCATTTTGTCGACAATTCACGAGGCATGTTATGGCATGCCACGATGCGAGGGTTAGCATGTCAAGACGAGTCATTACACGCCACGCATTTTTCTAACACTTTGTCTACTATTTCGGAATAATTTAAAAAAAATCTAGGAAATATATGAAGCGTTCTTACTGGTAATAACCTTTGTAAATATTCAACTAAGACACGTGTTCTTACCGATAAGAACCTCTGTAAATATTTAGCTCAGATAATGTATGTGTTCTTACCAGTAAGAAGCTGTGATAATCAACTCAGATATTGAACGTGTTCTTATCGGTATGAACACGTGCAAAAGTAATGTAACTGGAAGAAAATAACAAAAACAGACTAACCTAAATGTTAAAGCTCCAAACCATTGGAGGACTACAAATATAAGAATGGCGGTTGAGTTATTGAAATCTCACATTGATGGGTGAAAATAAAACAATGGGGTTTAAACATGGTTACCCCGCTCTAACTAATATTAAGGTCTTTTATGGTGAAACCTCACGCCTGATGAATTGGGCAGGTGGTAAAGTTGGAGACAGTATCAGTGTCATTAGAGTGGGCCCCCAGGCTTGTCGATCTAAAAAATTTCAACATGGTATCAGAGTCAAGGTTCGGGCCCGTGCAAGCCAACAACTTGTCACCAAGAAAGAAATAAGCCATGACTCTTAACAGAGAGCCGACCTCTGAGTTCCATTAAAAACAAGTATGGACTCTTAACATAGAGCCGACATCTGAGTTTCAATTACCGATGTGTGAATCTCCACGTGTGAACCACTAAATGGGGTTACACATGAGGGGGAATGTTGGAATTTCACATCAGTGGGTGAAAAGAAAACAATAGGGTTTAAATATGATTACTCCACTCTAACTAATACCGAGGCCTTTTGTGGTAAAACCTCACACCTAACGGATTGGGCAGGTGATGAAGTTGGAGACAGTATCGGTGTCGTCAGAGTGGGCCCCCCGACCTTGAAGTTAGAGACAGTATCTGTGTTGTTAGAGTGGGCTCCCTGGCCTTGTCGATCTAAAAATTTTCAACATGATATCAGAACCCACAATTATTGGCCCGTGCAAGCTAAGGGCTTGTCACCTGGAAGTGTGGGCTTGGAAACAAACTTGGACTCTTAACATAGAGCCGCTATCTGAGTTCTTAAGAGTCACTTCTTGAAACGATTGAAAACAAGTCTGGACTTCTTGGAGCCGACCTCTAAGTTTCAATTGCCAATGTGTGGATCTCCACATGTGAACCACTAAATGGGTTCAATTCCACCACTGCATATTGGATATACTCCACTTTCATTCTCTTATCAATTGCGGTCCAATGACTCAGCCTTCCCAGCCTGGTAAATAAGTTGGGAATCTGATATCTGGCGTAATCTGAGTGTAAATATAAAATGCAGCTAGTGGGAAATGAGTAATTAGCTTTCAAACTCGGTAATTCCTTTAGATGTTGTACTAAAACTAAGAAGATTTACCAATTTTTCCTTTCTGATGTCACACTATTATGATTAGGAAAGAATATTGAACCATAACATGTAACTGTCTACGTAAGAGAATTAGCTTCTCTATTTTATTTTCATTCGACAACTGCAGATCTATGCTGGTGAACTCATGTTCAAAGTGATATCACAAACTTCTGTTGTTCAAGAGTGTAAAAACTCACGTCGAAAACTTGACAGAATAAAATACTACGTACTTATAAATGAATGTTTCCACTACTAATAACCATTGTTGGATTGCCCAAAGTAGTTAAATTTGAGACAATATGAGTGTGACTAGACAACATAAAATATTTGGACTTCCAAGTTCCACTTTTCTTCTATTTCTTCATGTTCTATATGCCATGAAAGTGTTTGATCATGCTCCTTTATTCTAGTTCACTCCCCCAAATTTAGGAAGTGGCTCATTGCTTGAGCCTTAATTTTTGCACCCACATCATTGATTTATAAAATGATCTTTAGTTAATTAAATTAAAACTGTACTTAATTAGTCTCTTCTGCCTGATCTCTCTCTTCCCTCAAACACAGAAAAAAAAAAAAGGGATAAAAAAGCTGATTCTGTCCGTTTTGAGTGTAGACAACTATTGTGGTATTGATGCAGTGTACGGGGAACAAATATATTTAAAGCTTTAGTGATTTCTTATTTCTCAAAACCTTTAATTGTCACCTTCTCTTTTAATTGAGTTGCCTAGTAACTATCCTACTATTACATATTTACCCTACCAATGCTTTGTAATCTCCCTATTTAAAGGGCTCCAAATGTATCCTTGAAGTGGCCAAAATTAAAGTTAATCGAAGAAGAGAGTGACTTTTCCTTTTAAATCAAGTATTAGGCTTGGTGTTAAGCAATCCACGATTAGCAAATGTTGAGCAAATCTATTGCCCCTTATTGAGTGATTCCCAGTTATTTATATAGTCTCCTCGAGGATCCCTTGGCTCTCCTGCGTCAAGTATTCTCTCTCTCAAACACACAAAAATGGTTTTGTAACTTGCCCGCAAATGTGTAAACAGACATTCTGCAGAGGGCTGCAACTTGCCCGTAAATGCTCACAAACCCCGGATCCAAATTAAACAAACATAAGGGAGTCCCTTGGTAGCATAACACAAGAGGCCAAGTCCCGTGGAGAAAATTTTAGTTGTGATGGGAACACAAGTGGTACATCACGCGTTTTAATAGGAGTAATGAGAAATTTTATTTTTTAAGTTATTAACTTTTTAGCACACATAACCCACCATTTATATAGTTACACATGGTGTACCACCCCATGTACCGGTTACAATGAAAAATCTCTCCCGCGACAGGGGCAAAAGTGTTCAAAAATTTATGGAGAGTGATACCAAGGAGAAGCAAAGGTGATAAACAAAATAAATATACAGGAAAGTGTTTACGACAAGTTACTTTTCCTCTCGTACATTCATGTTTGATTCTGATGTCTGAATTAAATAGATAAAAGGAGAAGCAAAAGTAAAAATTGAACGTTTTGATATTGAAATCTACGGGAGTTTGGGTCATAATTTGGTAAGATGAAATTATAATTTAACATTTCTTTTACAAGAACATTGCTAATTGCCCCGGGGGGTTTTGTTTCGGTATTTATACGGAGAAGAATATGTAGCCTGCTATAGAGGCGCGATGATATACGAAGTTAAAAGTTCGATTTTTCAACACACAAACACATGGAGATGTTTAGTTACATTACTAACTTAAGCAGCAGCATTGTAGACGGAAATGATCACATCTCCATGCCTGATGTAGGGTGTGAGGAGGAGGTCTTCGTTGATTTAACATAACGCGGTATACTTTTTTAGACAGCTACTGAAGGAGGAAGCGTTCCCTTTGTGCTTTTATTCCCAGTTTGAAGACGAGTTTTCTAGGCTATGTTGTTCTATCGAAACCACCACCAACCTGCATATGCAACCACTCGGGTGAATTGCCGCGGCTATATTCCCTTCGAGGCTGTGTACTGAAAGCCATTGCAGCATTATCGAATGTTTGTTGACCGAACTGAAATGATAACATTGATCTGTTATGAGAATGGCAGTCCATAAAATAGAGGAATGAATCAACTCCCACCAACACATCAGTATTTTTCGGCTTTTGTTTCTTAACCCAACATAAGATTCACATTCACCAATAACTTGAACTCTTAACTCATGGATTCCTATTGTGATCGATATGGTAGCTTCATCTAGGAGAAATGCGTGCGTGAATGTGAACAGAGTTCTGATGAAAGAGAACGAAACTGTGGTCCAAAATGTTGACAGACATTTTCAAAACACAGAAATCTGGTTTTCCGTCATTAAAATGGACAACGATGGATAACAACACAGACGGGCAACTTCACATAGTCATATTGCTTCGGTTTTACTTTACCGACTTTCAAATAAGACGACTGACATGTACATGTTTAGACTGATGAATTTGATGTGTGCAATAATACACGGCATATGGAAAAAAAGTTGGAAAAAGAAAACAAGAAGGTATTACGACGAAGCACTCAGAGAGAAAAAAAGCGAGGTGAAAGCGATTTTAAACGCTTAACAACTGCATATAACCTATAGACTTACATCTTTAGCAGGAAACGCCTCAATTCCACGGTTCATTCTTGTATTAACTGTAAGATGTGAGTGTCAAGGAGAATGACTTCTAGTTCTCGTTAAACTTGTACCTTAGTT